ATCATTTACTGTGTCTTACTCTTCTATTTTAAGGTACATCTTTTTCCTCACTGCTACAGCTTTAGTTTAGAAACTTACATGTACAATAGTACTATCAAAGGAGGCAATAAAGGGTGGGTAGGATGGTAGCAAAGCAGAATTATTTCTCCCCTCAAAACCATTATAAATATGCCTATAAGCTAAGGAAGCACAGTATGCTTGCTGTGTAAATTCAACTTCAAGTAACTCTTTAAACCACCTCCCTTTATCAAATCAGATTGCTTCTTCCAGCTCTTCCTATATAGAAATTCTGTGAATGCTGTTGTACCTGGAGTGTTTGGGTAGTCTCCTAACTAGCTTCCCTGCTTCTCCATCTTTCCTTCCCACAATCCAGTCTTCAAATGGAAGTGGATGAATTTTTTCTACACATTTGACCTTCACCAGCTGGGCATCACTATGTTATAAATTTCAAATTTCTCTTAGCTGAGTATGCCGGTGCATACCTGCAATGCCAAAACTCCGGAAGCTGAGTCAGGAGGATCACAAGTTCAAGGATAGTCTCAGAAAAAAGTATTTTTTTTTTGTAGCACTGGTGTTTGAACTCAGCATATCACACTGGCTAGGCAGATGTTTTATCATGTGAGCCACTCTGCCAGCCCTTTTTATGTTAGTAATTTTGAGATACGGTTGTATGCTCAGACTGGCCTGGACTGTGATCCTCCAATTCTGTGCTTCCCTGCATAGCTAGGATGATATACACATGCTACCACACCCTCCCATTAGTTGAGAGGGATCTTGTGAACTTTTTGCTCAGGCTGGCCTAGAACCCTAATTCTCCCAATCTCTACCTCCATAGTAATAGGGTAGAGGATTAGCTATTGTACCTAACCTAAAATTTTTTTCTCAATATGGTCCTCAAAGTCCTTCAAGGTTTCATTTCCAGGATTCATGTGTCCATACTACCTGATTCTCATCTAGCTATTACTATACTACCTGTAGTGATTGGTGTATTGTGTTCCTGTTGGTTTTAGTTATCCTTCCTCTGCCTAGATTATATTTCTTTAAGAGAAAGAAACTCTCATTTACTCATGACAATTTAAGATACCTGTTCTTCTCAAGAGACTCCTCAGATATATACCTCTCCCCAACAGTGTTAAAATAGTCATCTCTACCTGCACATGCTTCTATTTTTACACTTTAGAGTATCATTACAATTTTTTTACATTTATGTTTCACTATTGTGTTAGCGCTCCAAAATCAAAAATAACTCTTTGGTTTTTATCTCCAACAAATAACATAGAGACTGACACTTTAGAAAATGCTTAATAAATGATTGTTGTTACTTTAAGTGAATAACATCCTAACTAGTCTCAATCTGTCACACATGGCATTTAAATATTTGTTGCAGGTTTGTTGTGAAAATGGTCAAACAAGTTCCTTTCCCTTACTAATTCTGCCTCCACTGCAGGGACTATGTAAAAACTTCATTATTATAAGAGGAAAATAATCAAATCAAGGGAGGGTGATCAAAGAATGATACTATTATAGAAATTAAAAAAACAGTAGGAAAATTACTGTAGTAATTATGATGACATAATATCTGTGCTCAAATATTTGGTAGGTTTTCATGTAGAACAGAAAATAAATGTAATTTGTTCTTTCTAGTTACAGGGGCCAAAGTGAAAAAAATGCAGTAGATCTCAACACACTGAAAAAACAATCAAAATACATTAGTTCAACAAAATCTTGTTTGAGCCCTTGCTATGTGTCTGGCATAGTTTTAGGCACAGGATTCAATGAAGAAAGTTCCTGCTCTCATGGAGCTTACTTTTTAGTGAATATAGATAGGGAACAAATAAATGAACAGCAAATAAAGAGATTGGTGGCCAGAGCTGGACAGAGAATGAACATAAATGCTGACAAGGACTGACTGGCTTCTTTGCATTGGGTGACTAGGGAAGGCCTCTTTGAGGAGATGACATTAATACTGTGATTCAGCTGATAGGCAGACAGCTATAGGAAGATCTGAGTGAAGAGGTTTTTAGGCTAAAGGAACAGTTATAAAGCCTAAAGGCAGGAATGAACATCAGGATGTTCCAGATAAAAAGGTCTGCAGGAATAAAATACAGTGTTCAAGGGAGAGAGTAACATGAGACTTGATTCAGGAGAATTATTAAGGGCCCATTCATTAGGGCTTTATAAAAAGGGGTGTTGTTTGATACCATTTATAGTGGGAAAACTTTGGAAGATTTTAAGCATGGGTGATGGTAGCTATATTATGTTTTAAAAATATCCACTCAGATATCTAAAAGAATAGGTTATAGGAGTTAGAAGGAAGAGTGAGTGAAATCTGGCAGCATTGCTGTTTTCTAGGCAAGAGATGATGGTGGTTTCACCTGGGTTAGAAAAGGAGGAGATGAAAAGAAGGAGCATTAGGAAATGTTTTATGTTTGAGAAAGGGGGAGGAGGGAGTGAGGAATGAAAATATAATGGAGGGGGTGAATTGTTTAAAGTATACTATTCACGTGCATAGAATTTTCACAATGAAATTGCGTTGTGTTATTAATATATGTGAATTCAAAATAAAATGATATTTTTAATCATAAAGCCCTAATAATATGTGGCATGACAAAGAAATAGACTGATTCATCTGGAAAGTTTAGGAACAAGTCTAAGTACATGTAATAATTTAATATGTAATAAAGTGTGGCATTTTAATTCAGTGGAGAAAGGAGAGATTGTGCAATAAATAGTGGAAAACTAGAAAGAGAAGAACTAGGGTATGTTTTAGAGGCAGTCATAGGGACTGACTGATGTGCTGGTGAAGGAAAGAAAAGAATCGAGAATAAATCTCAGATTTCTGCTGTAAGCAACACCACAGAACAATGCGAGCTGTTAATAGAGTGGGAAAGTCAGGGGAAGGATCAGATTGGCAGGGAGAGGGATGAGTTAGCTCAATAAATTGTGTTTTGTTCCTGTTAACTTTGAGATGCCATGTAGTAATGTCAGGTAGATAGTAAAGGGAGTCTGGATCTCATGAGAGGTCTGACTAGAGAGCACTTGGGAATCACTGACATATATGTACTATTTTATTTCATGAAACTGGGTAAATCTTTGGGTGAATGTGAATAGCTGGGAAACAGAAGGCCTCAGGGCAAAGGACCTGATATCACACCAGGAAATAGCTAATTCATTACCAGTAGAATTGTACAATCGGAAATCAATAAGCATAGGCCAGGGATGTTCTGCAGGAGGCTGCTTCTCAGAGTAAAGGTTTCCAATAAACTGTCCATCCAAATTAAAAATTCTATGATTCTGAAAAGTCCAAGTTGTGGTCAGTAGAATTGGCTTGTAATGACTTGCATCTTTTAATGATGCATCTTGTATGAATGCATCTAAGTAAAAATTTATTAATTAAAAAACTCCCTTAAATAGCTGCTAACTGGGGATGGGGATGTATGTAAAAATAAAATCACAGTTGTAGAGCACTTGCCTAGCAAATGTGAGATCCTGGATTCAAACATCAGCAACACACACACACACAGTCTTTAAAGGACCTCTATGACCATGATCCTCTGTGTGTCTCTCTTTCATTTTTCCTTCCAATATTCTTCCCCTCCATAATCTTTTCATTTAGTTTCTCTTCCTCTGTTTCACTCCATGTTTCTTTCCTGCAGATCTTCCAAGGCTACACATAGGCATTATTTATCCCAGCTAGTGGCTCTCACCTTTGGAAACTGCTAATCTATGCTGTACTTACAAACATAATACTCAAAACAACAAAAAGTGCCATGGGGGGGCTAATTAATGATATTTCTAAACCACATCTGTCAGCTCATATACTTGAGTAACATTAAGGAACATATCCAGTGGTTCTCCCATGGCACAGTGATACACAATAAAAAACAATCTCTGCTTCATGGAGAACCTAAACTGGATTAGTCTTCAGTACTATCTGTCTTGTTTTTCACTGTATACCTGGCTCCTGTCATTGTATTTATTATAGTGCTGCACACATAATATGAATACTTTGATGAATAAATGGACAAATTCTAATTCTGATCAAACTAATAAATTGTCCATCCAAATTCTAATCAAACTAATACATAAAACTAAAAAATAAATTATAGCTATAGCAAACTAAGTAACTTAAGAATCTGTATTATAGACACAATGAGGATTTTATTTTCAAAGATGCTCAGTAGAATTCATTATGTAGAGTGATATGTTCAGACTATGTAAAAATTTGGCCCTATAACACACTGCATCAGATACTTGATTTTCATTATATTCAGTAGCGGAGAATTAAATTATATATATATGGAGAGAGAGAGAGAGTGAGTGAGAGAGATATGAGAGATATGGAATTGCACCTTGAAAATCAACTAATATACACACTATCATATATAGCTTCAGTATTCTCAAAAGAGATCACAGTATTACACAAAACAATGTCTTTGGGGCTGGTGCAGTGGCTCAAGTGGTAAAGCACCTGCCTAGCAAGTGTGAGGCCCTGAGTTCAAATTCCAGTGTTACCAGAAAGAAAGAGTTGAAAAGCAGTGTCTTTGTCTAGTTAGGGAAACCTACTTTTTCTTTCTTTTAAAAAAATTTTAAATGTATATTTTCTAACAATGCATTACATTGGGCACTAACATGTAAGCTGTATAGAGAAGAATCAGTAATAATTTATTGGTATATAGTGTACATATAGATAAAAATTTATTGAGTAGATAATGAAGGAATAAAGGAGTAAACAAATGAGCAATTAAGTCATATTTATCCATATATTAAAATATCGTACTCTCCCAAAGACAAACTGTTATATGACACCTAGCATGTAATAACAACTTATTACATACTAGGCAACATGTTGTGAAATGTATAGTGCTTGCCTTATTTAACTGAGATAAAATGTCCGTTATATACATGTATGAAAATGTCATCATTCAACACATTATTTTGTATAATTACTACTAAAAAAGATAAACTGACATTCTATAGTTAAAAACATTTGATATTACCTCCATATCAATGCCAGGTTACAACTTCTGTCTTGAACATAGTCTTTTGTCTTCTTGAGAAGCAATTCCACAAAGTCAGGATTACCTTTTCTGGCAAAAACCCAGTACAGAATTGTATTCACACAAATTTCAGTAAATTCAAGATTAAAATTTAGTTCAAAACGGTATCCTGACTTTTCCACAAATGCAATATAATCTGTGAGTAGTATGTCAAACCCATCCAAGTCGACATACCTCAGAATTTTTGCCAATGTTCTGTAAATCCTAGGTTCATAGCAGTGATAGCCCCACTGACCCAAAAACTGCAAGGAGGGTCTCTTAACAATTTTGTCAATGAGATTGCAGAATATATTGCCTCTTGGAAAAGAAATCTTTCGACATAGCTTAAAAGATTTACTCATTGCTTCTTAAGGCAGGAATATAGAAATAAAATCACAGGTAGTCATACTGTAATCCTTCAGTTACATATTTTGATAGTGTGGTAGGCTTTGCTCCACAAACAGAAAGTGCCCTTTAAGCTGCAGCCAGAAAAATATCATACGCATTATTACCAGAAAGTACTGGATGACATCACAATAGTTGAAGATCTGTACTCAGCATAGGTCAGATACTTGAGATAGTATATGTAACTGGTGACAGCTGAGAGAAACACACTGGACAGAAACGGCCTGCAGAAGAGCTAGGAGACAGAACTTGTAACTTTCCAAGAATTCAGCTCAGTCTACTTCGTATGTTTCTCAAGTGCTAAAAACATAGTTTATACATTAGACTAAATAATCTTAATAAACATTGATTCTTCTTTTTAGGCCATCATATAAACATAAATAATCAATTACTGTTGTTCTCATGCTATGCATGAATACTTGTTCTCACTTAATCCTCATAGGTTATTTCCCTATTTTATAACTAAGGAGACTCATTAGATAGGTTAATTACCTTGCTAATAGACACTGTGTCATTCCCAGTAAGAAAGGATGTAATACAATATCAAACAAAATACAGAAACTAGGTTTTAGAATTTTCAATTTTATAGAGATTATTCCTCTACAAACCAGGCAGAATATAAACAATTTGGACATTAAAGGTACTTCAAGTGTGGGGGCTGGGGTGTGGCTCAGTGATAGAGTGCTTACCTAGCATTTGTGAGGACCTGGGTTTGATCCCCAGCACTAATAAACAAAAAAGCATAAGTACTTCAAGCTTGATATGGTATCCTTGCCCCCAGGAAAATCAAGGGGGAATATGTTATGGTTGTTTCCATATTGTATAGTCGCTCACATCTCAGCCACCTTCCTATGCCTTTTGTGGAGAGATAAGTCTTAGATTTGACACCTTTGGGTATATGTACTCACATTTTAAAGGGACTTCAATGTTCTCTGTTTTTTCTGCATATTTTTACTTAAATCACATGAATAATATCTCTTTAGTAAGAGAAAATTATAACTTTGGATTCTTTGTAACATACTTTCACCAATATTGCATTTAATTTTGTAAACTCTATACTCTCTCATTATGATGACCTAATAACTATTATTGTCTTTCTTAAATGGAGGGTTTTTCTCTATTTTCTTCTTTTGTCATTTTCTCCATCTCAAAAGGGCATTTTTAAATTAACTTTTTTTTGATTTCTCAAAAATATGTGGAAATTATAAAAATTCAAAACATTGTAGAGCCAGTGAAAATCTCTCCCTGAGATAATCATGTTAGCAATTTTATGAATGACCTTTCATATATGTTTATGCTATTTATAAACATATTATTATATATTTTGTCATTTTAATACAAATGGGATAAGATTATGCATTATTTATTCTGTGAGCTACTTTTCATTTACATAAAACTTTATTAAAGGCATCTTTGTGTGACCGTATATGGGTCATATATAGTTAACTCTTATATGCCACGTATTATATACCAGGTATGTTTAAGTATTTTATATATTACTTCTTCAGTATTTACAATAATACCACAGACAAGGAAGCGGGGTGCAGAGCTTCTTGGGTAAAAATGACTTGCCCACAGTGATATGTCTAGTAAATAGTAAAAGTGAGTTTTGAACCCAGGCAATGTGGGGATAGAGGCTTTATTTCTACTCTCTTGCTTCTCTAAAAAGAGACAGCTACTTTTTTGTTTTTATGGCTAGGTCGTGAAACAAGTGCTCTATAATTATATATTAACAAAACAAGATAAACATGATAGATTTGGGGATAAAAGTATTCTAGAATATACATTAATGACAATGTAAATCTCTGGATTTATAAATTTGAGTGATTTCCCCCTTTTTCTTTATAGTTTACTTTATAATTTGAATGTTAGTGTGTATTTTTTTATAAACAGGAAAAACTACTCATGTTCACTTTGAATATAATAACCAGAAAATAATAAGGCAAAAATCAGTGCTGGGATTATAAGAGAGTGATCCCACACCTGGCTGAGAAATAGTTTGATTCTTTTTTTTTTTTGCATGTTGGTCTCTATGTTTTATGAGTAGGTCAAGAGCCATGTTAAGTCCCAAATGCTACCTGAAATTCTTACACAGTTTTCCATCAAGTAAAGGCATTTCAGGCCCAGGAGTTATCTGGAAGATTTTACATTTGAACCTATTGTTATCCTTGAGGTAATTAATTTTAGTTAGGGTGACAAATCTGTAACTTGGCTTGCCCCACACCTTTTACTTATGAAGAAGCCTATCAGAAAAATGTCCCAGCAATAGCTGAAAGACTTGGAAAATATGTTATAAACCAGCTGGCTGGGGTTCTTTTGCTCTACCGAGAAAGAAATCATGGATAGGTGAGAAGTTCCTCCACTTATTCTGGCTCTTGCAGTGTTTGCAGGTGGCAAAGAATGGATGACAGTAAGCAATGGCAGTCAACCCTGGGCCTCTGACAGCTAGGGCAGCAGCACAGGGTGCAGGGCTCTAAGTCTTACAGCTTTTTGTACCCCAGGTGACCTCCTGCCCATATATTTTCTGTTACCAGTTGCTGCCCACCCCTACCACTCCTGTCAGTTTTGTAGGAGCCACTAAGCTGGCCTAACTTTCTGCTTGCCCTACTGTCAGGGCAGCTTCCTCCTGCCACATTGCTGCTTCTTTTCTTTTTCTTAGTGTTAAAAGCTCAACAAAAGTGGGCAAGTCACTCGAAGAAAGCCTTTTTTGGGACCTGATGTTGTACCACCACAGGGGCACCAAAGAGAATATGTCTCTCCCAGTTGCATTTATATAGCCAGAAAGGGGGGTGGGGACAAGGGTGTCTACATCAATCATGACAGTCCTTTCATGTTTGCACCAGTGATGGTACAGTCCATTATGCAAATGAATGATTGTGTTTGCATCAATCACAGGTCTTCTGCTGGGCAGAAGTGTACCACTTCTGGCCTGGGTGGAAGTGGCAGCTGTGGCAGTTGGTCTTCTGTGGGGCCAAAGTCCAGTATAAGATGCTCACTGAGGCATTGCCTTCTGGAGCTGGAGTCATACTTTGGAGAGTGGCAGAAGGAAAGTTCAAGGCAGCTGGGACCCTGGAAGAGATCTAACGGCTGTGGGGAATTAAATAAATCTCCCCAGCTCCCAACATCTCAGCACATTTAAAGGAAAAATACAATCTTTCTCGAAGGGTGCTTGAAACAGAGGCTTATCAGCAACCGTGCTTTAACAATATTTAACAATGCTCTTAACAGTGCTTAACTTCTGTTTCAGGGGAAGGTGGGTCCCTGCCATCTGTTTTTATAAAGGTGATGGCAAAAAAGCACTAAGCAACTGAGAGGTAGTCACCCACTGCAGTACAGGCATCAAGGACAAATGGCTGACCTGGCTGAGCACTTTCACCAGAGATGAGTTTTGTAGGTGTAGCATAAGTGTGTGACATGATTATATAATCTCAGCATGAGTGTAACAGGAAAGAATCACCTAATTAGTTTTAACTGAATAAGTCACTACCGACCAGCCTGCTTTTAGTTGCACATTTTAAAAAGACTGATACAGTCTGAAGGCTCTGAGGAGGGTCCTTTTCCTCCCCCAGTCAAGAATGAAAAGGCAGGGAAATAAAGCAAATGGGAAAGGCATAAAGCAAAACAGGGTTTATTGAAACCACAAGTATTGAAACAAAGTAGCAAAGTAAACGAGAGGACCCTCTGTCCATCCTTTAATTGAATCAAATTATCAAAGTATAACTAAGTAGATAGCAAAGTGGAGAACGAAAACAAAAATGCTTCTCAGGGGAGAAGGGGCACCGGGAAACCTGCAGTACCCCAAGTGCCTAGGGACTTTCCTTTTACTCCCCTCTCCCTTCCCTTCTCTGTTTCCATCTGGGCCTGTAGTCTCTGAAATGGTACTCCGGATTTAGGGGCACGAGGGGCAGTCTCCTGCTGATTGACTTCACGTGTTGACCATGAGCAATGAAGAGGTCCGGGAGGAGTTTCCTGTTCCAGGATGCATGGAGGTTCATGGCGGAGGCCCGCGGGGAAGTTTTTAGTGTGGTTGTCCACTCCCAGGCCTAGGCCTCCGGGCAGCTCCGGCTGCACAGCTGCCTCTCCTTCAGTTTCTCACGATTCAGCTGCTACTACGAGTAATGTGCTGCGGCCCAGTCTCCCTTCAGGACATTTTTTTTTTTCCTCTTACTGTTCTATTTCCCTCCATTCCCTCATGTGAGGGAACTCAAGAATGTCTTTACTGCTCCAGGCAAGATCATCACGTTCCTCTAAGGAAAGGAGATGATTGTGAAAATGAAATAACACCCAGCATATCAAGGAATGCAGGACTGTCCTGGACAGTGAAGGATACAACTCTGGCATGAGGAGACTCACACCAACACATCAGACACTAAGAAGACCCAAGGTCACCATCTGGCCCAAAGTCATGCCACATCCTCGTCAGCACTTACTATTTTCTGGGGCTCTTTCTGTTTAATTTTTTGATAATGACCATTTTAACAAGATTAAGCTGATACTCATTGTGGGTTTTGAGCCTCTTAACTGGTTCCTGGGTTTTTAAAGAAGGGAGTTTGTCCCTGTATAGTTGCTAATTTAGTGTCTCAATGGGGGAAGTCTTGCTGACGTCACTTACCACTTCCTGATAAATCAGCATCTCAGGCAATTCAAACATGAAATTATTGGAATTTACCACTCACTTAATAATCAGTGGAACATTGATTTTTGGAAGGCAGAAGGTTCTAAGGTACAAATTAATTATGTATTTATTTAGCTTAATCCCAGCTTTATTTCTGCATTCTGAGATTATAAGTAGTTTCAAATCTTTTAAGCCAGGCACTCTGCCACTTGAGCCACTCTGCCAGCCCCATGTGGCCACTTGATAATGGACACTGAATAATAGAATAATGAATAATACTTTAAGTCATAAACCATAAATCCATTCTTTTAAAGTATAATAGTCAATATTTTGCTAGTTTTATAAAATTCCTCAAACTTTTAAATGTATATTTCTTCTATTATCTAATTCTCATTTACTAAGAGAGTTTGAAACTTAGTAATTCAATGAAGACACTCTGTAATAAGTCTAGAAAACATTATCCAAGTGCATTTT